CCTCTACCTCAGGATGTTCTGGTCCCACTATCCTGGTACGGGAAAGAGCTATAACTCCCCCAGTCAGAAAGATCATTTCCTGACCTGGGTTACCCGTCTTCAGCCTTATCTCACAAAGCCTCAGATAGCACAGAAGTCATATTCAATTCCAAGCAGGAGGATTTTTTTCTTATGTGAACAGTCCTGGAAAAGGCTATTTAAAACAGGAATGTATAGGAAGGTTTGCATTACGCAGGAAGAGGGATAAGAAGGCCAAATGGGAGCAAACCTGGTCTCTGCAATTCTCCTCTGCAAAACGAAAACTTTATAATGGATAGCCAGGTCCTTAACTATAATCTTGGAATGTTAATAGTTAGTCATACTCTCAGTTCAAGCGCCTGTTTAGGGTGAAGAGTGGGAGCAAAATGTTGACTCCAGAATAGATAGTCAGGTCCCTATATAAAAGCTTGGAAGGCTAATAGTGTCAGTTATATTCTCAGATCAGGCGCCCGTTGAGGGTGAAGAGGCAGGGAGTGACTTGAGAAATTGGAAGTGCTTGTTACATATGCATATCTGGCGCCCGTTCAGGGTGAAGAGACGCAGGATCCAAACAGGAACAGAACTCTCCTACCGTTTCCTGTTCTGTATTTATTCTATGGGACGCTGGGCCCGGTTCCCAGCACATGTTGTTCCTTGTTTTTCCAATTTTTATGATGTAAGGGACGCTGGACCCGCTTTCTAGCAGGTGCAGCTCCCCACCAATGGAACGGAGCCATCTATCAAGTAGGGCGAGTAGAGGGGGTGTCTGCTCTTATCAGCACCCCCCTACTCCCCTCCCATGATGTTAAAAAAAAAAAAAAAAAAAAAAAAAAAAAAAAGTAGGTAGTGAAAGGCAAAAACAGAAGTAGTGAAAATCCGTACATGACGGGGTTGTAATGGCCTCTGTAAGTTTTTTAGATTTTTAAAGTAGTGAAAATTCATATATGAGTTGATCGAAGGGGGGATTGACCAAGCGATCCTGTAGCGCCTCACGTGCGCTAATTCAGCGCTAGTCCGCAATGCGGGCCCGCGGTGGATTGTCGCACCTTGACCGGTCGGCGCTTGGGGAGCAAGTGGTCGCCTCGAGCCCGTACGATGCAGTGAGGGAAGAGACGGCCCTCGTACGGTAGCCGACATAGCTGAGCTATGTCGACGTGAGACTATACCCGAACTGCCCCTTGATTGGGGTAGGGACGCCGGTGCGCTCAATGGTATGGCCCCCGGACGACTCCCCTTGGCAGCCTGATCACAATGAATTACGAACTCACTTATCTTAAGCTTTGGAGGAAAAGACCTAGCAACCTTGGCAACTTCGGAATCGTTGACTGCTCGTGCCTGTTGGAGCAGGCCCGAGACAAGAACTAGGCGTGGTGAAATCCAAACGGAAGATATTACGGTAAGCATGGAAGGCGGAGCGGCGCATCTAGACGCAGTGGGAGAGCGTGTGGCTGCAGTGGCAGCGCTTCGACATGTCCAAGGACTACAACATGTCTCGGTTGACCTATCTACATCGCAAGACAGTTGGATGTTCACTTATTTCATGTTTTGTTTTATTCACTTAATTAGGTCACTGCATTCGTTCTCTACGGTATGTTTACTTTTCCATTCCCGTTAAGTATTGGGCATACGTATTAGGCACTTGGTTCTTACATTTCGTTATGGATTTAAGGGAGAATGGACTCTAGGTGATGACTTATTTCGTGTCATTCAGAGTTGGTTTATTCGTATAGTGCTTTCTATTAGTTTACTAAAGTGGGGTTTAATGCTCGTTTATTTCCTAGCCTTTTCCTGGCGCGGAGGCTTCCCTTAGTGTTTCGTTTTTAGAAACACGTATTGTTGAAATACATTAGGATTGAGAGAGAGGGATAATTGTTTTCTGTGATGTACGGGAGTAACTTCGTGATTTTCTTTCCTTGTATGTTTTAGGTATTTCTGCCTTTTGTTAAGGTTGGTTTTCTTTGTGAGAATAGTCAGTATGAAGGAGCAATGGGAACACCAATGGTTGGACGATATGAGAGACCCGATGAAGAGCAAACTAGAGTTGTATCAATTGGGTGCGTGGTGGGAAACCCGCCTTGGCAACAAAGGCTCTTTACAAGTTTTTTGGATAAGTGATGATGAGAAGGTATTCCTGCAGCCTTTTCTTCTATTGACAGCGGCACTACGGGGGCAGTGTGAGTACCATCGTCAGTGGTGGGAGCGTTAGTCGACTGTAGTTATTATAACAGTAGTTAGTACGAGAGAGCAGTGGGAAAATCAAACGGTTGGACGAAATGAGAGACCCGTCGAAGAGCAAACTAGAGTTGTATCCATTGGGTGCGTGGTGGGAAACCCGCCTTGGCAACAAAGGCTCTTTACAAGTGTTCTGGATAGAGATGATGAGAAGGTATCCCTATAGTCTATTCTTCTATCGACAACAACACTACGGGGGCAGAGTGAGTGCCATCGTCAGTGGTGGGAGCATTAGTCAATTGTAGTTATTATAAGAGTAGTTAGTACGAGAGAGCAGTGGGAAAACCAACGGGTGGACGAAATGAGAGACCCGGTGAAGAGCAAACTAGAGTTGTATCCATTGGGTGCGTGGTGGGAAACCCGTCTAGGCAACAAAGGCTCCTCATAGTGTGATTGAACAGTGATGATGGGAGGGTAATCCTGCAGCTTTTCTTTTTGCCCAGCTCCTGATCCTTGAGTTTATAGGGAATAAGTGTAGGTTCATTCTTTGTTTCTCGATGCTCTAAGTGCTGGGGTATGTTTGCAGGGGTTTAGGGAGAAACTCGCGGGGTGAGGATGATATGAGAAACTCGGTAAAGAGCAAACTAGAGTTGTATCCACTGGGTGCGTGGTGAGAAACCCGTCTAGGCAACAGAGGCTCTTTATACTGTTTTGGGTCAGTGATGATGAGTGGGTAACCCTAAGGCGTATTTTCCTTCCCAGCTTTTCTCAGCCATCGAGATTGTTCCTTGTTCCTTTAGTTTGATATTGGGCAGATGTCTGGAACTTTGATCGGGTATTTCACTTCTTCCTTTGAGAATTCAGGCTGAAGAATGCAAGGACTTAGGGCGTCGTTAGACACTCCTTGGGGACGTGAAATCCACAAGGACGCGCTCGTTCCACCTGTCCTTGGGGACGAAATTGAAAAAGAAATGTGA